AGATTCGCTCTTAAATAAATTTGTTCAATAAATAAAATTGTCACAAATACAAAAGGTATATTTTAAAAAGCAGATATATATATATTTGATCTGACAAATATTAAATAAATATTTCCGTCAGTATTCTACTACTATGACGATATGTAATTGGAAAAATCTAATTATTCCGAAAAAAAAAAAACAGCCTACTCCTTTTTTTGGAACAGTTCTGACGTTGGATCAAAAAATGTTTATGTCAAATGGGAGATATTATAATGTGTACATTTAAACCAGAGGGAAATTTTGTACGTAAGTCGTCTATATGGATACCTCAATTACAATAGCGGTCCAGCCATCAAGTAGCGATCCTTATATGACTATGGTTCGGTTCGGTTATCAGATATGATAGTGAAATTACAGGGCACGGAAGTAGTGTTACTACTGTCATATCAAGCCATATTTACATAGTTTGGTCAACAGTTTTACTAGTAATTTTTTAATATGGCACATGCTATTAAATCATTTATATCCAAGTGTGGTTTATGATAAAAATTCATTCACACAATAAAAAGTTGAGCTATTTTTCACGAAGCATTTGTAAAGAGATACTCAATTTACATAGATGTATAGAGAATGAATTTTAAACTATTCAACGTCTGTTTAACCAAGTGCTCTACTAGAAAAATTGAACATTTTTCTCAAAGAAATAAAGGTCGAAAAATGACAAAAAAATCTCAAGATGTTCAATGTCTTAGTAAGGAAAGTTAGAAATTTCTTATAGTTTTTTGACTGATCTTATGTTTAATTTAGAAAAGCCTCTTAAAAGAATGCATATTTATTTAATTTCAGTTCTACAGGATACATTGCGGAGAGTGTACTCCAGAATTGCATGACCTGGTCATCATACTTTTGGCATCGAACGACTAGACGTGATAAGAGTCTCCACTTTTATGTCATATACATACCATTTATACACAGGAAGCGTTCCTTCATGCGTACGCAAAGGAGTGGAACTCTGTCTTTATTTATGTTTTTCCTGCTATATGTAATCTAAATAAAAAGGCAAATTGAAATAGGCTACTCGTAGATCCGCGAGGTCTATCTTAAACCACACTTTCGATCAGGTGAGATCATGATCAATTGCGGAACCTTCATCAATAAAAAAAGAAATAAGTACTTAATACTTTATCAAGTACAAGATTTTACTCAACATTACAGAATCCCGTGTGTATCGTGTACAGAACAACGCGACACCCAATTAGGGGGGTTGAAGAGCAAATTTTTCACCGCACCGCCAACCCTATTTGGCGTAACTCGGTTCGTCAAAGCACTCGTACTTAAGTCGCTTATACAAACGCCTATCAAGTGTATCAACAGGGATTCTTAACACTCCAACTCCTGTATAAGGCACCGCGCGCTTAAATTAGTATTCGTAGTTGCAATTGTGTTAGCTGGTTGTACAGCGTTCGATTGTCAATCTACGGATTTATCAGGTTGTTATGTGAATGTTTGTAGTTAAATACGTTGAAGTAGTACTGAGCTCTTTGGCTGATTTCGTGAGAAAACATTTTATGTAAAGTATTTATGATTGGTACTGAGTAAGTATGCACTTGTGGTGTAATATGGGGGGATTAAAACTGAAGTTCAGTATATTGTATATAACGTTGAAATAATTATGACAAAAAGCGCGTTAAATTCTCTATTAAAGTTGATATAAGAAAAGATTTTTGGAAATGTTATTTGAATTGGCAATCAATTATGTATGGTTTGATTTTTTAATATAAATTCTATCCACGGTTCAGATGCCTACTAAATAAGGAATTTCGAATAATTAGAAAATAACGAATTGAACAAACGTTTTGTTTATTAACCTGTTAAATAGTTTAAATTGGTAAACTGGGAATGATTTTGATATACCTTTAGAAATTTAATTCTTTAATTTAGAATTAGATTTTTTAACTTAGCTTTAAAAAAGCAGATTTCATTATCGACGAGAACTGAAAAAATAATAATATAATAATTGTTTTTTATTGTGAAGTATTTAAAAATCTCACTTACACAATTAACGAATAATGAAACATTAAATATAAAGAAACATATAAAGAAAAATATAAGGTATAATTATTAAGATATTAATAAATATATTTGCGGAAAAGTCTGGCTTTAAATAATCGCAAAAGACCCAGCAGTATTAAAGGGATACTAGTTGCCAAGCTAAGAACTTGTCATACTGTAGGAGACGAGTTTATTTATTTTTTTGGTAAAAATTTGATCATTAGTTTGTTTATAATGAATAAACTCAAAAACTTAATCTATTTTATATTTTTTCATTCTTAGAAAATAAGCAAGTAGTTATATTATTAAAAAAAATTGAGATACCTATAAAAAATATAATAATTTGCCTATTTAATCTATCTATCTACCCGTGCGAAGCCGGAGCGGATCACTAGTTACAAGGATACAAAAATAAAATTAAGTATAGAAAAATAGAATGTGTTGTAGAATGATAAGAAAAAAAAAACAATAAAAGCCAAAGAATTCAATCCAGAACGAACAGACTAGATGAGTTACATATATTATCTATTTTATCTATTATTTTAGCGCTACATTTTTTATGGTATATAAGAACCGAGAATTTACACGATTATTTAGGCAAAATGTGATAATTTACTTGAATGGTCTCGACGTTTCGAGCATGTTACACTGGCTGTGGTCACGAGTAAACTGATGTACCGCTATCATGTCTCCGCTTTCGAGGCATATATTTTTCTTCTATCCACTTATTGTCCCATATCTTACAAATCGTGTTACTATACTGAAGGCTTATCACTTTCCATATTTGATCTATTTTATCTGTGTAGATAGACAGATAAATTTGCTTTCTAGTGTTAGTTATACATATCTGTCAAAATGATTCATCAATTTCAATCTTGTAAATCATCCTAAAGACTACAGTATTTTTTTTAAAGGGTATATTAAGATTTCTTTAGGGTCGACAACGCGCACGTGACACTCCTAATGTTGAAGGTCGTCCATAGACTACAGTGACCGTTTACCATTAGACTGGCTGTATGCTTGTTTGTTACCTTTGTGGTATAAAAAAAAAAACAAATTGCTACTACGTCAACGCTAGTAGTACAAAAAATCAATCGAAAATCATTTACGTGTCATGAGTAAGACACGTACCTAAGTTTAAATGAATAAGTTTTCGTTCAGAAATGACTGGCGTTGTAAGAGCTATATGTCTCTCTAAACATCGACGAAAGTTAATAATCATAAATATACCTATGTAAGGTGTGGCCAGTTGAGAAAATGTAACATATACACATAGAACTTCCTAGTACATAATCACAATCCGCTTTCGCTCCACTTGAGTATTCATGCAATTATAACCATGTATGTGCCTACGCATACTTGTGTCCTTTTGAAGTATTAATTATAAACAAAAAGTTGTTAACAAAATATGTATGATGAACTTTCTTATTGATAGTAATCAATACATATAATAAAATAGTAAGTGGTTGCTGGCTATACATGGAAGGTATATAAAAAAAACTATTATAGGGGGGCTTTATGAACGCAATATAACCCAAAACGATTTTTAGAATTTTTGCCTATTTGTCTGTACATTTGTGCAAACTAATCTCAGAAATGGCTTCACCATTTTGAATGTGGTTTTCACTAATGCATTGCGGATTTGCTCCCCTTTTTGTCACAATTTAGTGTTTGTTTTATTTCAATCGGTTCATCATTAATAAGTTATATCTATAGTTATTAACTATATAATACAATATAGGACCGGATTCATGAAGGTTTCCAATGGGAATGATATACGGGAACTACATAGTTAAAAGCGGGTAATGCTGCAGGAAATGGCTAGTTATGTAATAATTTCATCTACGTCATTTACTTCAGTAGCCATGTCCCGTTCATATTTCTGCCTAAAGTGTGATGATATATTTATTTACAAATATATATATATATATATATATATATATATATATATATATATATATATATATATATATATATATATATATATATATATATATATATATATATATATATATACGATATACTATATATATATATATATATATATATATATATATATATATTATATATATATATATTTTTTTTTAAAGACGGTTTAGTCGAGAGTCTCTTAATGGTTTCCACTTGTTTATAGTAAATACAAAATATAGAGGCATAACCCTATAGTCCTCAGGAATGGCATCTCATGAGTGGTCGCCACAGTATATTCAGTAATATACTATACATATCATATTACAGTCATGTAGTGTATGTATTGTATCCATTGAACTTGTCATGTGTATAGGCGATGGTTGTTGTATCAGCTGTGACTATCCACTAAATATACCTTCCTCATAAGGGAAGTTGCCAAGTTTGCCATTGTTGCCACTTTTGCCAGTAGTTGTCATGTTTGGCAGGCGGGTTGGCAACTGCAGTTTGGTCTGGTGATGATTTAAGAGGGAGACTACTGCCCATTTCTCCACCATAAGCTCCCTTAGTCGCCTCTTACGATACCCACGGAAAGAGGTGGTTTAATCTAAGCCGGGATACACGGCTAATAAATAGGCGATGGTTACAACTTTATTTTATTTAGGCTGTCAATTTGATTGTCATTTTAATTTATATAACATAAAAAATAGATTAGAAAAACATGTATCATTTAGTTTATATGCAAACGTATCAGTAAGCAGAAACTAGTGTTATTATGTTGTAAAATAATGTTATATAATTTAATATTTATTTATTTAAGGACAACCAAAAAGCATACATTTATATCTACTTAAAATACATTATAATAAGGTTACATTATAAAATGCTGCCTCAATGAAAGGCCGCCACGACATGTACATAATATATTATTATTAGGATGAAAATTTATAAAAACTACAATACTAGTTATACAATAAATAGTTAGACTACAGTAATACTTTGGATTTGAAAGATTTGTACACTTATAATCTATACATATGTGCAATGATACATGGGCAGTAAGATACTTAATTTTGCCTGGATGGCTATACAGTAGGACGATCGTAATTGTACTGACAATTAAAACTATAAACGGTGGCAGCTGTCACAGACAACGCGCTGGAATGTGTGAGCGAGATGCACGACACAAAGCCGTAACATATTTCCGCCCCAGCAAAGTCAAGGTTGTCCTCCATCAGCACACGAAGACTGCGGAAGATCTTGGTCTGCTACCTCCGGGTGTATTAATATTGGCAGTGGACACAGTCTGTTGAATGCGCGTCGAAGAGTTCCTGTTGCGGTTCGCACGTCAGCAACACGGGTGATGCCATCTGACCCAGGATAAAGAGTGGTCACTCGCCCGAGCAACCAGCGACTTGGCGGCAAACGGTCATCTTTAATTAGCACCATTTCGCCGATTTGAAGTTGTCCGTTAGTTTGCTTCCATTTGTGTCTGGTGTGGAGTTCTGAAATATATTCTTTATAAAATCTATTCCAAAAATGAGCCTTCAGCACTTGTATTCTCATGTAAAGTGAGAGCGTGCAGATCTTGGCATAATCAGTGACTGTGGTTTGTGGAGAAGGTAACAGAGTGAGTGCACGTCCAATAAGGAAATGGGAAGGGGTAAGCGCTTCTAGGTCTGAGGGATCAGATGAAATAGGAGTGAGAGGTCTAGAGTTTAAAATCGCCTCAATTTGTATTAATAATGCATTCATTTCCTCATATGTTAAATGTGCAAAGGAAACTACTCTTTTTAAGTGATGTTTAACAGCCTTGACGGCGCTTTCAGCCAATCCATTGAAATGAGGGCTATATGCTGGACTAAACTTAAAGTTAATCATTGTATTAATCCGAATTATATTTTAAAAATTTATCTAATTCATTACTTGCGCCTATGAAACATTTTCCATTATCTGAGAAAATGTTGACGGGTTTACCCCTGCGAGAAATGAAACGATTTAAAGCAGAAATAAATGCATCCTTAGACAGGTCGGTTACCAGTTCTATATGTACTGCTTTGATTCCCAAACATACAAATATACACATATATGATTTAATTAATTTGCACCCTCTGCCACTTCGACTCACTATCATGACTGGCCCGGCGTAGTCAATTGCTGTATTAATGAATGGATAGTCAGCGTGTAGACGCTGTTCAGGTAAATTTCCCATAATTGGTTGAATACTTTTACCCGAAAATCGACAACATTTGACACAGTTGTGTACAATTTTTCTGGAGAGATTACGTGCTCCTATTGTCCAGTATTTATGACGTGTGCTTGCTGTGAGTAGTTGAGGACCTCCGTGAATTAGTATTTTGTGATAATAACGAAATATTAATTGTGTAATATAATGAGAAGCATGCATCATAATCTGATGTTTTGTATCATAATCATAGTATGAGTTAGATAGTTTGCCTCCAACGCGAATTAAACCGTCTGAATGTAAAAATGGGTTCAAATATAAGAATTTGTTTTTATATGGCAATAATTTATTCTTACTTAACAAATTGTATTCGGGTTTGAAAGATTCGGCCTGTGCGATTTTACACAACATATTGTGAGCATTCTGAAGCTCGTGTATCTGTAAATAGCCTATTCGTTTTGTGTAAGGATGTCTACAATTATAGATGAATCTCAAAATGTATGCTGAAGCACGCTGTAACTTGGTGAAATCAGAAAATCGTTCTATGAACGAAGAAAATTGTGACAATGACGCGTTAACGTGACACTGAACCTTGGTTTCAGGTAAGTCGTGTTCATGTATTTGTGTAGGTTGTGTTGGCCACGTGGATTTATCTTGATGAAGAAGAAAAGATGGTCCTGACCACCACAACTTGCAATTTTTTAACTGTTTTGCATTTAAACCGCGTGACCCTATATCAGCAGGATTTAAATTTGTGGGTATATAACGCCATTCTGATGTGTTAGAAGTTTCTAAAATTTCGCTTACTCTGTTATTGACAAAAGATTTGAGTAACTGATTTTTAGTAATTTTAAGCCAACTTAAAACAATTGTTGAGTCACACCAATATGTACAGCTAGATATTTGCAATCTTAGTGAAGATTTAACTTTCTCTGTCAATCGGGCATAAAGGAAAGCGCCACACAGCTCTAAGCGGGGGATGGTCATCGGTTTTATAGGTGATACTCCGCTTTTTGCTATCAACAAATGAACAGAGATGATTTTATTTTGAGCAATGGATCTAAGATAAATACATGCACTATATGCATGCACAGAGGCATCGCTAAAGGCATGTAATTCGATTACCTCTGGGTCGTTACATATAATGTGCCGTGGTATTTTGATATCAGACAAATATGACAAATTACTCATTATTTTAAGCCAGGTTGATTTTAATTTGTCAGGGACGTTTTCGTCCCACGATAATTTAGATGCCCATAATTGTTGTAGTACTATTTTAGCTTCTAACACACATGGATTAATTAACCCCAATGGGTCGAAGATTTGTGAGATAATAGAAAGAATTTCACGTTTAGTTATTTCTTTATGTTGCATTGTGTTAAATGAAAACATCAGTATGTCTTCTTTACAATTCCAAAGCAATCCTAACGTTTTGGAAGACTAATTTTTTATGATGTTGAGCAATGAGTCACTGCCATTTTCGCCAACGATTTGATTAACGATTTGTGGATTATTAGAATTCCACTTTCGTAGATGAAACTGACTATTTCCTAACTGTTGTTTTACACTTCTACAGTTGTTCACGAGTTGAGTTTGTGAGTCTGCGCCTGTAATCAAGTCATCAACGTAGAAATCGTGATTAATAATTACAGCTACAGACTCTTCTAAGCATTCATTTGCCAATTGCTTAATGCATCTCGTCGCCAAGTAAGGTGCTGAAGCTGTGCCGTATGTTACTATATTGAGTTTATATTGTTTTAACTTATCTGTCGGTTCAAACCGCCATAATATTTGTTGAAAGATACGTTGATTTTCATTAACATTTATCATACGGTACATCTTTTCAACATCTGCAGTGACAACATATTTATGCTGACGAAATCTAATTAAAATGCTTATGAGGTCATCTTGTACTGTTGGACCTACTAGCTGAATATCATTAAAGGATACGCCAGATGTCGTGACTGCAGATGCATTGAACACGACTCGTAACTTGGTAGTAGAGCTTGTTTCACGCATTACTCCATGATGTGGCAAAATATATGATTGTGTATCTTCCTGTGGATTTGTGTTTTCTGACATATGTCCTAACTCAATGTACTCTCTCATGAAATCTGTGTATAAAGCTTTGAAATTTGTATCACGTTGGAACCTGCGTTCTAAAGATAAGAATCTGGATAATGCTTGATTGTAAGAATCACCTAAAGCGTCTGGTGTTGATTTTAATGGAATATTTACAATGAAACGGCCATCTGATTGACGACAGGTTGTTTGTATAAAGATTTGTTCACACCTTTGTTCTTCTTTAGTTATTGCAGCGTGTGTCGGTACATTTTCGAGTTCGAAGAACTTAGTAAGATGATTTTGTAAACATTCGTCATCGATAGTATTAGTAAAATGAGAGTGGACTGTATGATATGATTGCTGATTAACGTTTGATTTAAATGAATTTGTTTGTATAGTGCCAGATACTAACCAGCCTAGTTTTGTTTCTCTAAGAGTTGGTTTGTTTCTACCTAATGGAATGGTACCGGAACATAAGACGTTCCAGAAAATGTCTGCTCCTAGTAACATGTCGATTTGAGAAGGAGTATGAAATGATGGATCAGCTAATGTAATGTGTGAAGGTATGTTTATTAATGTGTAATCTATTTGTGTAATTGGTAACTGTTGTGTAATGCGTGGCACAACAAAGCAATTAATCTTATTTGTATATGTGTTTGCTAGTGATGATATAATGACATCACAGCGTTTGAGAATATGTGAAGATTGTTGATTCAACCCTTCAACTAATGTCGACGTTGAACAGGTTGACAATGAGAGTTTGGAAAGTAAATTATTAGTAATGAAGCTTGAAGTACTTCCATTATCTAGCAAAGCGCGTATTTTGTGTTTGTGACCATTGCTGTCTTCAACGTCAATCGTGACTGTGGATAATAATACAACATTTTGCGTGTTATCGACAGAGGAAAGGACTATATCACTATGTGTAGTTAAAGATTTTGACGATGTGTCATCAATTGGTTTTGTTTTCTGTTTTGTGTTATTCTGATGTGAATTAGTCAAGACGACACTGCTACTTGTTGAAGTTGGAATAGTAGATGACTGTGGTGTAAGTGATGAATGATTGACATGAAGTAAAGTATTATGAGAGTTAAGACAAAGTTTGCAGTGACCTAGTTTGCATTTGGTTTCATTGTGTCCTTGACGCAAACAGTTAATACATAATTTTAATGATTTTGCCTTTTGTATTCTTATTTCAACTGGCAACGATTTAAATTTTGGACATTGATAAATAGCATGGTTGTGTTTACATAAGGGACATGTGTATGTTCGAGTGGGTGGAGAGTATGAGTTCGCTATAAAAGATTTGTGACGTGTATGTGTAGTATCACTGTGCCTACGGTTTTGTGACTCGTCCATTGTTTCCAATAGATCTGCACGATTTTTTAAAAAGGTATTGAAATCTAAAAGCGATGGAATATCTTTAAGATTACTACGATACGTTTCCCATTCGCGAGTTGTAATGATATCGAGTTTACTCGAGACTATATGTATAATTAATATGTCCCAGTGATCAGTGGGTAATTTAAGTGTTTTGAGAGCTCTCAGATTTTTATTGACAGTGTCTATAATGTTGCGCAATGCCTTAGCCGACTCTCTTTGTATAGACTCAATAGCAAAAATAGCATGAATATGATTATTGATTAAAAGTCTTTTATTGTTATAGCGTTCGCATAGAAGCTGCCATGCAACATCATAATTTTCAGCTGAAAAATCAAGTGAACTAATGATTAATGCGGCGCTATCTTTAAGTGCAGCGCGCAAATAGTGAAATTTATTAATTTTAGGAATTGAATTATCTGAATGTATGAGAGTGGAGTAAGTGTCGTGGAATTCCAACCAATTGAGATACTGGCCCGAGTAGCTCGGTATACTGATAGAAGGCAATTTCAATTTTGGCCAACCTTTAGATGCAGAACCAGCAACCGAACCTGAGTCCGTTTCAGCACTCGCAGGCGCTGACCGCGTCAACATATCTCGAGCGGCAGCTATCACGCCGAAGTACTGAGTTTCAAATGTTTCGCGTTCTTTGTACTGATCGTCTGGAATTTCAGATAAATTTTCTATTTCAATTTGCGTACAATCAAAATCTGAATAAAGTTCCTCAATTTTTGATAATCTTATGTTGAGCTCATTAATTTGTAAACTAGAAAGTGATTCACATGATTGATTTACATTTAGATATGAAGAGAATTGCGTAAGTCTAGCTTTGTAACTACCACGCTTTTTAATTAAAGATTTTAAATCCATTTTGTATTATTTTAGGTAAAATCTAAAGCAAATTTCAAGTTCAAATCACTATGTTTATATTAGAAATAGTTAAGTGGTATAGGCACAAATCGAAAGAAATAAATTTAAGTAAGACGGTATACTTATATTTTATAAAGTCAGCAAATGCGGGTCGTGACAGAGCACGAATTATGCGCCCGGGCACCTAGTACGCTCCGCTAGCTCAACGATTTCTCCGATGTAACACTGCTGGAATTAGCAAAACTGTTAAACACAAATAGGTATTAAGTATAGATTGCCTATTCGAATTTTAATACATACGAGGCAACTCCAAACACTAATGACACTAAAGAATTATTATGATATTAAAATTATTCAATGAAATAGTTGTATTATGATATTTACTTCAATTACGATGAAAGATTTACTTAAAATGAGATACTGAATTATATATATAATGTATATAATGACAATCGTATGCAATTAGTTGAGTAAAAAAATCTATTAAACCTAAAAGTGTAGGGTAGGTTATGATAACTTGTCTAAAAATATTAAATAATTAAAGAAAGTAGTTGGAATTCACTTATTTAAAGTAAGGAAATAAAGTAATTTATTCAAATCTTAGTGATAAAATGGATACGGGTGGGTAGTAGGCAATTGGAACAAACTCACTGTACACTCTGTTACTTAGCTCACGTATTGGTATCAGTCCTTTATATGTATTGACTTTGCTTGAACTTGATTATTTATTGATGATGATGAGTACTGATTTATTGATGATGACCGTCCTCTTCGTAATAATGTTATGCTGTCCAGGCGCAAAGTATTCCTTTGATCTGCATGAACTGGTACTGGTTACTCGGCAACACGTAGGTTCTTGTAGCAAGACGGGCCGATGAATAATGATGATTTATGATGATATCCGACGATGAAGGTCCAAATGGGCAGTAAGATACTTAATTTTGCCTGGATGGCTATACAGTAGGACGATCGTAATTGTACTGACAATTAAAACTATAAACGGTGGCAGCTGTCACAGACAACGCGCTGGAATGTGTGAGCGAGATGCACGACACAAAGCCGTAACAATACATGTCATGTTGTTATTAAGCTGATTAAATTAAACTTTATAATTTTTTATTAATTAAATTTAATATAAAGTCCATGATATTAAAATAAAATTATGAGATCGTAACTAAAAGGTGCAGGATATAACATAATCTCATAATGTGAGTCGCACACTCAATAAGCCACTGCCACCACCTGTTCTAGAGGAAATCGTATCTGCTATGGTAACACACCATCGCTCATACGAACTGACGGGGTTTTCCTTTTAAATTGCATAAATGATATATATGATCACTTGCCTATGAATCAAGTTATGCCACACTCACACCTATATGGTTCAATGTGTGTAAACGATAGAGAGGTATTAGTTTAAGAACATTTAAATTTCCCGAATACCTATATGAAATATGTCACATAGCTTGAAGAATCGACAGCCGATGGGGAAGAAAGATTCTTGAGTGACGATCTTGTACAGGAAAATGCAGCAAACTCCACTAGATGGAGCGACGACCTCAAACGCATTGTCTCCCTGTCAATGGGTGCAGGTGGCTCAGGACCGTTCCTTATGGCAGTCTATGGGGGAGGCTTATGTTCAGCAGAAGACAGGTAATGGCTGATATGATGATGACGATATGAAGAATGTAAGATACTAAAAAATTTTACTTTTTAATTTTGAATTTAGTTTTTTTTTTTTTACACTAGAAGATAAGGAGTAGGTGGTTCACTTGATGATACATAATAAGATATAATCTTTTATTAGACATCATCCTAGAAGAGTGCATAACCACTAAATTATAAATTGGCACGTTAATTTGTTTTACTAGAATGGCAGCATTCTAGTTTTTCATAAAGATATTTAAAATACTTAAAATACAAAAGTCTACAATAATTTTGGTTACTATTATTGATCATATTTTGATTGATGTATTTTTCGTACTATAATACAATATATAAATATAAAGTAGTAAAATATAGTCATTTGTATGACTATTTTAACACAATAATAAGACTTTTTAAAGGTTCCTTATGAAAATTTCATGAGACGAAACACTAGAAGCCACTACTATCCTGTAGTGAATTCACGAAATAATAGACGTGGCATATGTAAATAGTGTCAGATCAACATACATCGATCGGAGACTGTACTCTGATACTTGAGGAGGCACGACATTGCGGTTTTCCATTATCCGACATATTTGTGTCGAAACCATCTTAATTTGGAATAATGGATAACCATAATAATATATTTATTAAACACATTTGTATCGGAAACATATTTATACAAATAAACTCATTCAGAGAGAAAGAAAAAGCGATTAGTTTAAAAGTCCAGTTATTTGGTATAGTTCTGTTTATCATTTACACATTTATAATTATTATCATCCTCATTATATCGACCTTTAACTGTTCACTGCCAAACATAAGTCTCTTCTTGGATAGTTTTAACAGTAGTTGCCACGCTTGGCAGGCGGATTGGCAATCGCAGTTAGGCTTTAAAGATATTTTAAGAGGGACACTGCTGCCCATTCCTCGCTCTTACTTAGTCGCCTCTATACGACATCCATGGAAGGAAGGGATTATCTATTCTATGCTGGGATCGCACGATCATCGCATTTATAATATCCTAATATTATAAATGTGTAAGAGATACACAATTTTGATGTATATTTTGATTTAAATAATTTAGAATAACAATTGTTATGTTAATTAATAGACTTCTTTCTACTTCCTACTCTTGTTTAGTTACATTGGTTGCAGTGTCGACAACATTGGTAAAGTACGTTAAAATAAGCCTAGATGTGGGAATGTCCTCGGTGAGATCTTCTCAACTTATTTGAATACGCGGTGGCCTGGTCGGTCAGTTTTTGTTAGGATCCTCTAATTTGAAAGTCTTTGTTAGTCATTTCCTAGTTGGATTGGACATGTTCTTACCATGTAGGTATTGGTATAACTGTAATATTTGATTTATCAACCGACTTCACAAAGAATTTCAAATTTCCTTTTTATTTGTAATGTACTGTATATTTTTTATGGACCATAATGGAATAGTAACCCCGCCTGCGCTATCGGTATACGCTGGCAGAGGATCAGTAAGACATGATAGGTGAGAATTAATGTAGGTTACTTAGCCCATTATGATGAATTCGACAAGAATTACGTTGGTTTCTAGGGGAACCACGTGGAGGTCAAGCTGGTATTGCTAGCAATGGGACTGTCCTATTTTTAACAATACCTTTCTCCCTGTACTATACGTTAGGTTAGAGTATCTTAATCCTTAATATCTCAGCCAATTCTGAACATAATAACTCTTTTTCGTATTCTTTGTTGATTCCAAGGGGAGTTAAGAGTTCCCATTGTAGAAATCTTAATAGGATTTGTTTCGTATAATCCGGCTATGTAAATACATTAGTTGGTTAATATCACTCTCATCACGAAATGGCTATTGACCTTGGCAGGTTATGGAAAGAAAATTCTAATATGATTCATGCGATGGAGGCGTTTTAACCCCTATATTTAATTCATTCTAAATTGTACTGTAATGTACGGAATAACACTTGAATCCTCAGGAATGGCAACACATGGGGGGTATCATGGGCGAAACAGTATACTCTGTTATGTCCATGGTACTGCTCATGCCTATAGGCGACAATTACCACTTTCCATCAGGTGGGCCGTCAACTTGTTTGCCATTCTAAGTTGTATAAAAAAAAGCCTGGATAACCGTGGGTTATTATCATGGAGTAAAATTTATCATCCATTCGGTTTAGGCTTGGAAAAGTATAGACTTTTTAGGTTAATATTTTAAGATAGTGTTCCAGCACAAATCCGATTTCAATGGTGGTAAAATCAATAATTTTGATATAAAGACTAAACTATAGAACTATATCCTTTTTGTTAAAAGAATAATTTTGAAAATCGATTTATAACTAACGAAGTTATGAGGAAACGAACACAAAAAAAATACAAACAATTTGAGAACCTTCTCCTTTTTTGGAGTCGGTTAAAAATATGTTACAATTAAAATGACAACGTTGTAAAAAAAATGCAGAAGAAAAAAAATCGATTACCTCCTGTCCATGTAGGAAATTAATCTATAACTATTTATGTATCTAAAAATAACTTCACAACAGACAGGAGCGGTCGTCTTTGTACAGCGACAGAGGCTCGCGTGTTGCGATTCGAACCCGATAACGAGTTGAGTAATCGTTTCATTAATATATTGCTGCTTTAATAAAGGTAAAATTAAAGTGGGAATGTACGATAAATAAACAGGCGGAGATGCCATCACATTGGAAAAATGATCATTGCTCGCAGAGATATTCGGTTGCTTGTACAGAAAACAATGTATGATAAACACTTAATATATAGAGTTGATAATACCGCCTGCGGAATAGATCTCTAAAGTTTTTTTTTGTGAAATCATTATTTGAGAATTGATGAAACCTTTATAGTTTGTAAAAAACAAATAAGATGAGCAAATATTAATGCAAATTCAACAACAAATCTTATGTGTTATATTTTGGACGAAATAATTATGTTCTTTATATGATATACTTTTATTATTTTTTAAATTTCATTGTTAAACATTTATTTAGCTATATTATATAAACACTAAAACTTATAAAGCACTTGATGTTCCTCAAATTTTCTTGGGACGAACTACTAAATATATTATAAAATTCAATTGTTGAAATTAAGTACACAATTTTAATTTTTTTTTGATAGAAAAATATTCAGAAAACAATAATGTATAATTATCGAGCGGTATTATCACCTCTATAGCATATAATCTGTCATCGAAACACCACGCCAAAGTTGCGAATGCCTTGAATTTTTTAGTTGAGTTTTCAACAAAATTAATTACGGTCTTTACTGGTACATACGATAGATTTCTTAAGATACTTAGATACGTGTTTTTAATGGCCACTTTGAACGTCTTAGCCGACGAAATGGGTATAGAGGAACACCTTTTTTTCTTTTAATAACATAATTAAAGTTTTTTTAGGCGACCAGTTCAGTTTGACCCAAGACTGTAAGAAACGATGATAGGGTCGATAACCTTATGCTAACTATGAGCTTTGTGTAGGTCAGTAAGATTGTACATGTTTTTTTCTTTAATTACAATTACACGTATAACATAGATATACAGGTATAACGAGTTTTTCATTTAACAAATATTTATTTACATTTATAGTATTGGTATTACAATTCAGTACTTGTTTTGCTATCTGTACGTGGGTGTATAT